CTTCTCCCTCTCCCACTCCCCCTGCTTGTGTTCCCTCTCTCGCTGTGTCTCTCTCTGTCAAATAAATAAAATCTAAAAAAAAAAAAAAAAAAAAGATAACAGAACAAAATGTGGTAGACACATACAATGGATTCTTCCTCAGCCTTAGCAAGGGATGGGATCGTGATGTATACCCCCACATAGGTGAACCCTGAAGACATGCTAAGTGAATGAAGCCAGACACAAAAGGACGATTAGGGTATAATCCCACTTTAGATGAGGTGCCTAGAATGTCAAACTCCTAGGCAGAAAGTGGTATAGTGGTTGCCAGGCTTTAGGGGGAGGGAGCAAGGGGCAGTTAGCATTTAATGGGTTCAGTTTCAGTTTGGGATGACAATGTTCTGGAGATGGCCCGTGATGATGGTTGCACAGTAATGTGAATGTACTTAATGCCACTGGGCTGTATACTTAAAAATGGCAAAAATGGTATTTTTTATGTTAGATATATTTTATCAAAATAAAAAAAATTTTTAATTAACATCAAAAGCTGCTGGGAAAGACTGTGGCTTTTGAAGAGGATTGGTCTTCTCAAAAAAATAACACGTATTAATTTTATTCTAGTTATATTCATTTTCACTGTAAAGGGGAGGGAAATCAATAAATTTTTGAAGAAACAAGAATCCTGTGCAAACCCAGACCCCAGAGGTAGCGGCTGTAGGTTATTTTACCACGTGTTCTTCCCGCCTCCTTTTTTTTTTTTTTTTTGGCATGTATTTTACAAACAAAATTGTAACCTCTTTCCATTTGCTATCATAAGCAGTTTCCCTTTAAGTATTTATCTAACACGTGATGATTAATAGCTTCCGCATGTTCTCTCACATAGATATGCCATAATTTATTCCCTTGCAGTCAGATGTTCAAGTTGGTTCTGTTTCGTTCTATCATGAATAATGGTTGGCAACTTTTTTTGGTACAGAAATCTTTGCACACATCTGATTATTTCCCTGGATTAATACTGGAAATACTCGCGTACGTGTGCCCACTTTCCAGGCTTCTGCAGAAAGTTCCAGTTTGCCCCTGCAGGTTCCACACATGAATGTGCGTGTCTCTGGCCCCTGGCAGGCAGGCCCTGCCTAGATGCTGTTTCACAGCCCAGTGGCTCCCGCCACCAGGAATCTCCACGGGAGTTCTCTCAAAGCCACATGGTGCCCAGCTCCTTCAAATGATTTCTTTTATTAAAAGCATTTTGTTTAATGCTGAGAAATCAGTTCAGTTTTCCATAATGCAACACTTTTAAACTGTTGCAAGACTCTCATTCTTTTCAGTGGGCAGGTTTTGGACCAAATCCCTACTCTGCAGGAGGTTAGACAGAAGCACAGGGAGGCAAAGGATTGTGTTGGCTTTACTTGCATACCGTTGGGAAAATACCTGTCCCGGCAGCTTTCAAAGCAGAGAGAAGTGCTTTTTTTTTTTTTTTTTTTAAGATTTATTTATTTGAGAGAGAGAGAATGCTTGGAGGGGAGGGGAGGGGCAGAGGGAGAGAGAGAATCTCAAGCAGACTCCCCTCTGAGCAGGGAGCCCGAAACAGGACTTGATCCCACACCCCTGAGATCATGACCTGAGCCAAAATCAAGAGTCAGACGCTTAACAGACTGAGCCACCCAGGCGCCCCAAGAAGTGCTTTTTTGATGAGTTCAGTGATGCTCAAGAAGTGTGCTTCCTAAAACTTCCCAGGTGAACACCTGGGAGAGGAGAAAAAGTTACCTTTCTAGATGCCAAGCCCTGCCCTCAGGCACCTGGCATGCACCGTGGGGGGTCACCTTCCCACTTCAGAGATGAAGGGATTGAATGAATAGCTGTGCCCTGTGTCATTCAGCCCCTCGGGGAAGCAGCCAGGCTCCTGGGACTGATGGCTCCTGCTTAGTCTCAGAGGAGAATATTTGTGTTGACCGAGTTCTAGGGAAATGCAGAGCTAGTGATATTTATGGGAACTGGAAGAGAAAGTGTTCTCTCTTTCCTACCACCCTGACTATGGCTTCTCCTATTTAACCTGGTCTCCTGGCTATTTCAAGTCTACCTTGGAGAGCAGAGAGGGGAAATGGTTCACACTCATTCGGAGGCGCACTGAGTTCCTGTGGCTTCTTGTTTCTTCCGCATACGTCTGCCCAGTAGTTCCTGGTAGTGCCACAGCCGACCACAGCAAGGTTGAGAGAAAGGACACCCACTCCTGACAGGATCCCTGGATTTTCCCCCCGTCCCTGTACCCACCGGCTCTATGACCTAGAGCAAAAACCTTGACCTCTGTGGGCTTCAGCCTTCCCAACTGTCAAACAGGGAGAAAGGGTTTGCATACCTTCGTTTGGAGTGTCTGGACACAAAAGTGCTTTGAAAAGTATGAAGCGCTACATGTGTCAGGGGGAGTATTGCTAAGACTTTGAGCCTGGCATGCTGCTGCTACAGCTGT